TATGACACGCACTGACCACCAGGGGGCAGACGCTCAGTGCAGGAGCTGCCCCCTGGTGGTCAGTGTGCTCCCACAGGGGGAGCGCCGCTCAGCCAGAAGCCGGGCTCATGGCAGCACTAAGGAGCCCAGCAGGAAGGTGGTAAGGAGCGAGGGGTCCCGAACTGCAAGAGCCCCGGACTGTGAGAGGGCCTAAACTGGCAGGCGGACATCCCCCAGGGGTCCCAGACTGTGAGAGGGCGCAGGCCAGGCTGAGGGACCCTTCCAGTGCACGATGTTCGTGCACCAGGCCTCTAGTAAAAAAATATTTAGAAAAAAAAATGTGTAGAGCTGTGAAGAGTGGGGAGATGGGATTGTCAGGAAACTGTTCTGGGGAAAGGGCTGGGCATTGGAGTCCACAGATGCCTCTCTTCCATGCCCCAATTTGGGGGACATCTGTCTACAGAGTTCAGGGCCCAGGGCCCTAGCATTTACAGGGTATGGATGTCCTGAGAGGAACCACATCAGGCAGGAGAAGGGGAGGGAAAAGAATGAAGTTTCCATGCCCGGCCAGTGGGCTCAGTGGTTAAACGTTGACCTATGAACCAGGAGGTTTGAATCCCGGTCAGGGCACATGCCTGGGTTTCGGGCTCAATCCCCAGGTAGGGGGTGTGCAGGAGGCAGCTGATTGATGATTCTCTCCCATCATTGATGTTTTTATCTCTCTCTCCCTCTCCCTTCCTCTCTGAAGTCAATAAAATATATATATATATTTTAAAAGAATGAAGTTCCCATGGGTGGAGGTGGGAAAGGGGACAGTCAAGAGGCAAAGTTCTGGGGAGCCAAGACCAGGAATTTTGGATCTGGTTGTCAGTGGAAGTCAGCACCTCACCCCCTGCTCAAGTAAAACTCCTCCTGACATGGTTCTTTTCTCTGCAGGCTCAGGTTCCCTCTAGTCAGTCACCTTACACGTGGCCTTTCAAATTCTGCCTGCTAGTGTCTGCCCAAGTCCTACCCCCCACTGTCCTCTCCATCTGCCCTCAGCACAGCTGACATCACGCTCTCCCCAGCCTGTGCCATGAAGCCTTCTCCCTGCTCTCCTCCCCTCCACCTGCCACCACTGCTTTCCCTCAGAACTGGCAGAGGGGGCAGGTCAAAGAAAGGGAATGGGCAACTGAGGGGAGAAGCTGTTCAGACTCTGACGTTGCTTCCTTTACTGAAAGAACAGAATCAGGAGACAACTTCCAGAAGCTTTCACCCCATTCGTCACCCCCCGCCCCCCTCCTGTGGTGACTTACTCCACTCTCCACCTGTTCCGAGGAATGAACTGTCCCACTCCTGGCTCCAGCCAATTCCTCCAGCAACTCTCCCCCTCCCCCTCTTCTACACTATTCCTACCAGCATATAACATGCCAGTGTTTCCTACATATGAAAAGTTGTCTTGACATCACTCCACCTGGAGCTCCTGCCCACTTATCTCTTCATCTTAATGCAAAATGCACTGGGTTGTCTCTCTGCATTATTTCCACTTCTGCAATCACACTTGTGATACTGCATCCCAGAGCCCTGAACTGTTCCTCTCAAGGTCCCAGGGAGTGACCTCTGAGTAGCCAAGTCCAATGGTCAAGTTCCAGCTTCCTAGGATGGTTCCTCCCCATCCTCCTGACCTCTTAAAGACACACTAACACAGAGTTCAGACCTTAGACCCCTTTATCCACACGCTCTACTCACCCCTTTGGGAAGCTCATCCAGATTTAGGAGTTTAAAGATCATAAATGTGCTAACAACTCCCAAGTGTGTCTCTCCAGCCCAGCACTCTCCCCTCCCTCCTAGACTTATATATCCAACTGCCCTTGCACATCTCCCCCTTGGTGTTCAAGAGACGTTTCTCCTTTAACAAATCCGAACTGTTCTGGTCTTCCTCCAAATAAGCCCCAGCCCCAGTGTTCCCCATGTGTAAGACTACCATCTTCCTTGACCCCTCCCTTTCCACCACACCCCTTATCCAGCGTGAAGGCTCCTCCTCCAAAATAAACCCAGAATCCAAACCCTTCTCTTCACCTCCAATAACATCATTGTGGCCCCAAGCATCACCATCTCTTTCCTGGATAATCACAGTAGCCTTTTTGTGGCCTCCCTACTCCTCACCCTGCTCCCCTACAGTCTCCTGCTAATATGCTAGTTGAACACAGTCAATTCTCCACTCACAACCCTCCCAGATTAAAATCAAAAGTCTCACCATGGCCCATAAAGTCCTCTAAAAACGTCCCTCCCTCTCACCTCTCTGGCCTCATCTCTTCATTCCTCTTCACTGACTATTTTGTCCACACTGGCTTCCTGTTTCTCCCTCCAACAAGCCAGGCCCTTTCCCAGCTTGGGGTGTCTGCACTGGAATGCTCTTCCAGATGGCCCCACAGCTTACCTCCTCACCTCCTTCGGGTCTTTCCTCCCTCCCTGGCTCACCCTATTTAAAAATTCAGCTTCTTCCCTGGCATCTGTGGCACATACTGCCTCCTAACTTACTATATACTTTACTTTTTTTTTTTTTTGCTTAAATATGTCTCTCTCCACTAGAATGTAAGCACCCTATCTGTTTTGTTCACTCAGTAACCCAAGCACCTAGAATACTATATGGAAATAAAAGGCCCTTAAATAATAGTTGCTGCATGAATAAACCACATCCGTCTCATCCATGTTACCTAAGACATCCCTTACTAAGCTACCCGCTCCACCCCTCCACCTTAACTCCGCCTCCAGCCCAAACAACAAAAACAATAACTAGCACTTACATAGTGCTTACTATGTGCCACTTAGCTATGTGCTAAGTGTTTTCAAATGCTGACTCATTTAATCTCCATAATAACCCTATGAGCAAGAACTGGAATTATTCCCAATTTAGAGATGAGAAAACCGAGGCACAAAAAGATCAAAAACCAATAAACAACAGCTCTGAGACAATGAATCTCCACAGCCCACTAAGAGCGGCTGAAAAGCCCCAACACAAAGCCCCGCCCCACGACCTTAACCCCGCCTCTTGGTAGCCCGTCGCGCTAGGGCCCCAGGACAGATTCCTAACCCCGCCCCCTCACAAAGGCCCCGCCCCGGAGAGGCCCCGCCCCCGCGCAAAGGCCCCGCCCACCTTCCTGCAGGCTCAGGCTCCTGGCTGCCGGCGAGTCCTCGCGCAGCTCGCGAATGTAGATTCCTTCCTTCCCGCCGCCCGCTACGTTGATGCCGCTGACTCCCGTCTGCGCCTCCGTCTCCACGATGATTTCCACCAACTCCGCCCGCCTCAGTTCCTGCGGAGGGCAGTGCGGGGTCGCCACGGGACGCCAGATCGCGCCCAGAGCCCGCCATCGCGCTTAACAGCGTCTCTTAAACCATTCCTTAGGGCACAGGTCCCTCTGCGAGGCTCAGGCTGGTCGTGCGGGCCCACCCACGCTGGCATCTCCCCTTTAAGGAAACCCGGGGGTCGCTCGTTCAGTGGGGCTCTCGGAAAGGTTCAAGGGCTCCGCTGGCTCGCTGCTCTCCCAGATCCCCCCGGGCGGGGCGGGGCGGGGCGAGGGGCGGTGTCGGGGAGGCCAGAGTCCCGACAGAGGAGGGCCTGATGGAGAGGCAGGGGCTCTGCTCTCAGTGGGGCGGGGCGGGTTGGGGAGGGTGGGGCTCCGTTAGAGAGGCCGGGGTGGAGGGGCCAGTACAGGAGAGGGGTGTGGCTACGTGTCTGGTGGTAGGTGGGGACCCACAGTCTCAGGGGCTATGGGGCGGGGCTTTAATAACAGCCCAACAGGGTTGGGGGTGAGGAGGGGCTCCCAAATAATGGGCTGGACCCTTAAGTCGTATGGCATGGGGGGCGTGCGTGGGGCTGACCTCCTTGGAAACATGCATGTGCGTGAGACTGTGCCCTATTGTGGACTCTCTGACCCCAAGACCCGCAGAACGCCCATGGGAGAGGGAATCCAGTGAAAGGGGGGTGCGTGGGTA